TTTTTCAAAACAACTTAGATTGTTTGCGTAATCATTTTGTTGTTAATCAATTAATCTTTGCCGATGTGTGATTCATTTACTGGGAAAGTAATGACCTGGAATATCTAAACTATTACCTCCAATATATTTCTTTGACAAGATAAGATTTTTTAATTATTCTTTTTGCAAATAGAGACAAATTAGGAGCCTAAGCATAATGTAAATAGAGCTGATTAGGTTCTCTCACCTCTCAATTCTATGCCAAATTCTTACTTCCATCAGCTCTGTCAAGCATTTCCTCGCCAAGCAAAAGTGATACGATACTTTCACCAAAAAAAAAAAAAGTCATACGATACTTCAACGCCAAAGCCAGAGGTAACCCATCTCCAACATCATTGAAGCTTCCATTTTTCCGCTTTTGTATCACCACATTGATTTCTACTTAGATGTTCATCTGATAATTCTTCCCAACATTGTTATCAGGTACGACGATTATCATTTTTTATCTGGGTAAGAGCTAGGGTTCTTGATCTTAGTTATACCTCCCGTTCTGTTGATTGATTGGTTGAAGTTAGTGTTTTGAATTATGGGATTTCCTTGTTCTTTCTTGAGATCATCGTTTGAGTCAGAAAGGTCGGATTTTTTTGGCGTTTAGAGTAGAATTGAAACCGCTTCGATTTGGATCTTGAGTTTTAATCTCTATGGGTAGCATTGGGGAATCGTCTGAATCTGGTGTTCGGGTGTCTGGTTCCCAGCTGGTAAAAAATGGGGTTTTTCGTGATGAGGAGAGGTGTCCAATGCAAGTTTCACAAGTTAGAGGTGGGGGGTCGAGGAATACGAGCCCCTTGGGGCGTGTGGGATCAAGGAATACTAGCCCTTCCAGGCAGAAAGTGATAAAGACTAAACCGCGTGGTCTAGACGAGGAAACGGTTGCTACATTTGGCAAAGCTGTTCATCCTGATGTTCAAATGGAGGACAGCATATGGGCGATGTTGCCTGAGGACTTGTTGAATGAGATTTTAGCTAGGGTTCCACCATTTATGATCTTTAGGCTTCGTTCTGTTTGTAAAAGATGGAACTCAATTCTTCAAGATGGTAGTTTTCTGAAGTTTCACTCACAAGTACCATCTCATGGACCTTGTCTTCTTACATTTTGGAAGAACTCACAGACACCACAGTGCTCTGTTTTTAGCTTGCCATTGAAAACATGGTATAGAATTCCGTTTAATTTTTTGCCTCAGTGGGCCTTCTGGTTAGTTGGTTCTTCAGGGGGTCTTGTTTGCTTTTCTGGACTTGATGGGCTAACTTTCAAGACTTTAGTATGTAATCCTCTCACACAAACTTGGAGGGTATTACCAAGCATGCATTATAATCAGCAAAGACAGTTAATTATGGTTGTGGATCGGATGGATCGTTCATTTAAAGTCATAGCCACCAGTGATATTTATGGTGATAAATCACTTCCCACTGAAGTGTATGATTCAAAGCTTGATAAATGGTCTCTCCACCAGATAATGCCTGCAGTTAATCTTTGCTCCTCTAAGATGGCATATTGTGATTCCAGGCTGTATCTTGAAACCCTTTCACCACTTGGTTTGATGGTCTATCGTTTGGACACTGGATATTGGGAACACATTCCAGCAAAGTTTCCAAGATCTCTGTTGGATGGTTATTTGGTTGCTGGGACTCAAAAGCGTCTTTTTCTAGTTGGAAGGATTGGTCTTTATAGTACTCTTCAGAGTATGAGAATTTGGGAATTGGATCATGCCAAGATTATGTGGGTGGAGATAAGTAGGATGCCACCAAAATACTTCAGAGCTCTCTTGAGACTATCTGCTGAGAGATTTGAGTGCTTTGGACAGGACAACCTGATTTGCTTTACATCTTGGAACCAGGGGAAGGGCCTTCTTTATGATGTAGATAAGAAGGTTTGGTCTTGGATAGCTGGTTGTGCTCTTCAATCGTATAACAGTCAGGTTTGCTTCTATGAGCCAAGATTTGATGCTTCAATATACTGAGTGGGAGAAATTCTGTTTGAGATCTCAGAGCCTACTGAATGGTAGCATAGTCCTTTTTCAATTCTAGATGAGAGCTGACATGTTCACGTTTCATCTTAGTTTACTCAATCACTTTCTCCTGTCCTGCACAATCTGTAGGGATATTCCTGACTCTTAATGAGTTTGTGCATCCTTTTTGCTGGATTTCATGAAATTAGTTTCAATTTTCCATACCACTATGTTTTAGGATGTAACAGGTTGTATTTTGTTGTACTGGGATTCAGGGATGCACATCAAGTGAACCTTTTTACTTTCATGACTCTACTAGGGCTGGTCTGTTGTAAGATGTAAATTATGAATATGATTTTCCAAAGAATTGTAAGAATTCTTACAATAGCTTTTTTGAAATTCTCTTATCAATAGCTGTTAATACGTTGTGACAACATTTGAACAAATGCAAGTGCTGTCATCTCTATGCTGGCTTATCCGTAATTCACTATGCTGTTTGAGTACATTGTTACACGTAAAAATTATCTTGTACTGCTTCTGTTCACTTTATTTATTTGTTTGGGCTGTAGCTGTTGGTATAAGTGAGGCTTGTGTGTGGTGATAACTCTTTTCGTTAAATTTTCTGAGTTCTGACAAACTATATCCTCTTATGGTTAGGTCATCTGCTTTACATTTAAACTAATAACTGCTGTTATTTTACTATTGTCCTGTTCAGATATAATAGGAGTAATTAGTTTGCTTGCAGAGGATGGATTTGATCTGTGAAGCATAAGTAGATATTGATAATGAGTTATGCTGGAAATGTTAACAGTTCATGCAGCTACCTTAAAGTTTTGCAGCTGATATGATGCCAATTGCTTGAAGATTTGTTTTAGATGTTGTCAGCCACTTTCTGTTTGAACATGGTAACACCTCCTGGTCCTTTGAAGGTGGTTCTTTTGATTTTAAAAAGTTCAAGTTTAATTGGATGATCAATTAATCGTGCCTCTTTAATTCAGTGAAAGCTGTTGTAATGCCATGCAACTATCATCTTTAATTCTTGTTGCCATGAAACAACTGAGGATGTTCTATATATGGTTGTATATGAGAAACTCTTGTTTGAATTTTGGAGAGGTTTGAATTTTGAACAACTAACCATGACCCTAGAATTAAGGTTTTTTGAAGTTAGTTCATACCAACTTGGCTAAGCTCTTGTTAAGTTGTTAATAAGGCATGACATTGTACATGTTATCATACACAAGGAAGCACCAGATATTGCCTACAGCAGTAGTAAGGTGAATAAGATTTGTTGAGCTTGTAGGCCAAGTTTTTGGTCTGCTTGTTGTATCTGCTTCAGTGCTTACTGGCAAGCTAAACATCTAAATGATTCTACTCACTAAACTCTTCTTACCACTCAGGATGCAATGAGCTAGCACATCTCATTTGTTTCGACTAGTTGATCACCTTTGCACATCTTGAATTTACTTCTTAAAACTCCAAAGGTTAAATAGTTCTGAAATTTCATGCATTAAGATTTAGTTTTGTTGTTGAAACAATCTTGTTGTTAATGAATCTTCTAATTGTCAGTATGCTACCTTTCACTTTCCAAAACCTTGCTTGTGTTCATGTTGACGTGTATGGTTTGCTTGACTTCCCATTTTCCCTTTACTTTCTTCTTTAGTGGAGGGTCTTTGTTCATTTAAGTACAGGAAAAGTATTGTTTCTGCCTTTCTGGGTTTGGGTCATCTATATTGTTGCTTTATTCATTACTGCTTTTAATCTACTGTGTTTTTGCTGGTTGAGTTTTTGGTAATCTTGTTGTTGATGCAGACTGCAGCATAGTTGTTGTTGTTGACATATATATTAGCAAAGTTAATGAATATAAGTTGGTGCACTTGTTTTGAAATATATGTTACTGATTCGTTAGTTGGTTCCAGTTATATAATAGGAAAATGATGGGTGCACACCTAGATCTCACACCCGGGTGTGCACCCCCCATATAAACAAAAAAAAAATGCTCATCACCCAATCCAACTTTTTTTTTTTATGTGCGGGGTGCACACCCAGGTATGGGATCCGGGTGTGCACCAATCATGGTCTTGTATAATAATCTCTCACTTTTTTTTAAGGGAAGGAATAGCATCCAGATCAGTCCTTGGAGCTTTTTCCTCTTTTTATTTATTTATTAATTTAATTTGATTTATTTTATAATCTTTACAATGTTTGGGGGAGTGGGCAATCACACTCAAGACCTTGACCTGAGGGAATGGTGCACCTACCAGTTGGGTCCAGACAAGAGGCCAGTTGCTCTTGGAACTTTTATCTAAGGCACAATTTTGACCTTATTTGTTATTGGATTCATTTAAATCCTTATATTTCTATTAATTTCAAATGAAGCCCTTTGTTTCAATTGGTTTTCAAATTAGCTCAAATTTGAATTTTATTTAGTCCCCACAGGTTCAGTTGGACAAAAACAATCTTTTTGGGCATATTTGTATAGTAGTAAATATATTTGGGTTTATTATCAAAATGAACTGTTGGGCTTGATTATAAGGGCTCAATTAGAGTTAGGCTTGTGCGCGCTCAAACTTTTTTTTTCCATTTTTGGGGTCTCAAGACTCTCAACAAGGACATGATCCGTTAGGTAGGTTTTTTTCTTAAGAATCTTGAAATCTAAAACATAAAGATCCATGGTGCCAAGAAAGAAACAAAAAATCAGTCTAAAAGGAATTTTTTTTCTGGGGTTGGCTAAATAATTTCTTTACAACATCAGATATTCCCAATTGAGTATTACTTCTAGGATTTAATTGTATTAATCATGTAGGTGGAACACAAGTGACAATGTTCTTACAAGCAATAAATAGTTATTTGTAGAAGTTTCCTTGAAAATCAAGCAGCTTTGCCTCTTTAGAATCATGATGCAGGCATACTGGGGTTTGTTGGTTGGTTTAATTTTGAGGGCATTTTGTTGTTGCAGGAAATAACGTTCCCGAACTTGGGTGACACAAAATTAAAGCACATTGTTCTCAAAGGAAAGCAAGTTGGACGCCAATCACACAACCAACAAGCAATAGTTTTATGCACTCTTACTTACACAACTAATCACACACTCGACAAAATTTAACTAATCATCTACTAATATGTATTTCTTAGTCTACTATTAATTGAGTGAAAACTATACTAGTAACTATTATGAAATACTGTTTCTTAAATTCTTAATTAACTATTAACTGTCGACTGATAATCTAATATAGATAGAGATTTTACCGTGTTTTGACTTGAACCCTCATCAGTGATGATAGCATCACTATCATTCGTGTTTTCTTCTTCAGTTTCCTGAAGCTGCAATGTAGACTCCAATGCCCACACGATATCCCTCATTGTCAGACGTTCACTTCCACGTTCACGAACACAATTCTCAGCGACCTCACTGAACTTCTGCAAGGCCATCGGCGCAATCTGGCCTGCCAGATACGGGTCCACGATTTCATCAAGGCTTCCATTTTGATAACAACTATGGGCCCATTGTGCCAGGCCCACTCTCTCCCCTGAAAAGCTCTCGAAGACCGGTGGCTTGCCACACAGCACCTCAAACAAAACCACACCAAAAGAATACACGTCAGATTTATCTGTTAGTCGCTGCAGACGAAAATATTCTGGGTCGATATACCCGAAACTACCCTTCACCATTGTGCTGACGTGGGTCTCGGATGTGGTTGTAGGACCCAATTTCGACAAACCAAAATCTGATACCTTTGCCACGTAATTTTCGTCCAATAATATATTTGATGATTTCACATCGCGGTGGATGATAACCTCCTTTGCCTCTCTATGGAGATAGTGCAACCCACGCGCCGCCCCGATGCAGATCTTTAGTCGCTGTTTCCATGATAGTGGCAGATTCTTGGTATTGTCGAGATGATCACGAAGTGTGCCACGTGCCATGTAATCATACACTAGGATCATCTCACCCTGATCATCACAGTATCCAATCAGAGAAACAAGATGCATGTGTCGAAGCTTTGAAAGCAAGGCAATTTCGGTGTGGAACTCGTGGGCCCCTTGCGTTGATGAAGGTTTTAACCGTTTGATTGCAGCAATGGTGGTCCCACCATTGAAAATCCCTCTGTAAACGTTTCCAAATCCTCCACTTCCGATTAGAATCCTATCGTCGAAATCTTGAGTGGCTGCTTTGATCTCGGCGATTGAGAAGTGACAACAGATATCAGACGGTAACGAGGACGAGGAGGAGGTTTTTGTGGGAATGAACTTTGATGTGAAAGAGAGCGAGCGTTTCAGTTTTCTTCGTCTTTGAAAAACGAAAAAGCTCACGAGGAGAGAAACCAGAGCAAAACCACCCAGAATAGCTCCAATGATTGGCAAACTCATTGATGTTACCTTACTCTTTGGGCCTCTATGCGAGTCTGGAGCTGCAGGACTAGAAATCGGGTCAGGATTGGGTCCAGCTAGGTTACCACCGGATTGATTCAGTTTGAAAATCTCTAAACCGTTCAAAAAGGCATCAGCATAGCTTTTGTTTTGAGGGTGCAGCGCTAGCCAAAGGTCCTTTCCTTGGGTACTGTTTTCAGTCAAAACAATGTAGTCTTTGTACAAAGGATGTCCATTGCCACCGCTCAAAAGAAACACGTCGACGGCTGTTGCCGCAGTTTGATTGTTGATGAATATGTCGAAGACATGTTGATGTTGGCCTGTGACCCTCATCAGAATCTCACAGAAATGAAGCCTGACGAGGTAGCGGAACCCTGCATCAACGGGGAACTTCCAGGTCATGTTGGATTTCAAATTCAACGAAGCATTGTTGCTCATCATACGCGAAGTAGTGTAAAGTTCCTTGGGTGCGGTGTACGCCGGTGTGCCCTCTGTAAATTGAATCGGCTGGGATATGTTCAAAATTGGAACAATCCAGTTTGAACCGACAAGATAATCTCCATCTGGACTCCAGGTTCGGTACATCCCTGTGTCTTGCACGTTCTCAATGCGGTTTCCGCCAACTTTCAGCCGATAAAGAGTCTCAAGTGAGGTGGTTGTATTATCCAAAGAGAAGGATTGGCCAAGGACTACAGTCACGAATGGGATTTCCCAACCACTTAAGTAGAGGCCGCTTGGCATGGAAACGATTTCGATGCCGTTAATGAAAGCATAAGAGTTCGAAGAAGGGATGAAGGTAACATTAAGAATCTCATTGTCCCACACAGGAACAATGAATTCTTTCATCAAGAAGGCCTCCTTGATCAGATGCATATGCGCACTGAAATTTTTCAGGAGGGTGTAGCTATTGGCAGTGACGGAGAAAAAGGAAGTGGTCATGTCAAAAGTGGAGTATTTTTCAGGATAGAAGTAGAGACGAAGGAACTTTGGGCCAGGGGAGACACGGAAGTTGTAGGTGAATTTAGATTTAATGATGAGTGCAGAGTGGTATGGAACTGTGGGAACCGAAGCGTTTTGGTCGGAGGCATCTACAGAAAATGATGAGCTTGGGTCGTTGAAGGTGGAATATATAGATCGAGCATCGGCATCCCAGCTTCGGCCATCCTGTGACATAGTGTTGGACTGTAAGCCGCAGCCGAGGAGGATGATGTCAGTGGCATTGTAGGCTGGGGCGGTGGTCATCGGGAGGAGAAGATGGAGGAGTGAGATGAAGAAGGTGGTGAGAGTCAGCATTTTGGGATTCAATATTACTCGAGGAAATCCGGTGATCTTTTCACGAATTAGAAGGGTGTTTTCTAATCGCAGCCTTCTTATAAAATTGATCAGAGGAAGAAGAAAGACTTTTACACACTAGAAGACAATAGCGAAACTGATAGAAATCAAGTACAAAGACTTAAAGAGTCTTTTGCCAAATTTTATATTAAGTACAAAACTTGCTGCTTGTGCTTGGTGCATACAGAATGGGAAAATCGGCAATTTTAATTAGCCCCTAATTAAAAACAATTAATTTTCATTTATCAATACTTTAATTATTTTTTTATCATAAATTATAAAATAAAAGATGTTTATTTGGAGAGAATTATGGGAGAGAATTATGTATTGTTTATTTGGAAATTCCAAGCTTCCAGCTTTTATTAGTGTTAGTTCAATTTTATGATATTGGATTTAAATATAAGAGAAGAATTAGCCCTTCATTAAATTAAAAAAATAAAAATAAAAATTATGATGTTTTGATATTTAAAATATTAAAATACAACAATAATTTGTCTAGAAAATTTGGTAGCTATGCAGGCATTCAACTATGACTAGTCTTCTCTTTTCATCTTCTACCTTTAATTTCTTCTTATAACTACTGAATCGTAAGGTTTTCTTCGGGTCTACTAAAGTTTTTGAGGAATATCATACGTGCACACATAAAAAATAGATAAGCTTGCCAAGGATGGTGCCGAAGACTAAAATTAAAGTTATAGACAGTCAACAGTTAGGAGAGGGTAGGACCATGTATTAAATTAATTAAATTAAAATATTAAATTAATTGAATTAAGGACTCTTTTCCTATAAATTATATTGTCTTTGCAAAATTAAATTATAATACTAATTCTTTACTTATTTTTTTCCCTCTTGTAAGGTTAAGTCCAAGGTGCCCAACCTCGGACGTATGACAATAATTCCTGTATAGCCGAAGTGAAAGATAAATCCAAAACTTCCCATTCAAACAGTTGCATGATAGCGACAATAAATATGCCTGCACCTGATTCTTTATGATAAGCTGCATAGAAGTTATGATGGATATCTTTACATCTGAATATCTCTTAATTTCCCGGTCCCGAAATAACCATATGAAGAGACACGTCAGACTCTGAATATCTTGCTTGGCATGCTACGTGGGTTCCTCACTAAAACCTATAAATACTCCCCAAGGGCCACGTCAAAAAGGTGATCGAAACTAACCCTAAACTCCTTTTATCTTCGCTCTAAAGGTAGTCTCGATTATTGCTGACTTAAGTATCGGAGTGTTTACTCCGAATTCCACCTCGGGGCTTTGTAGGTTAATCCGAAGTGCAGACGCGAACTGAAGAAGGATTTTTGATTTGATGCAATTACAAGTCGGGAGGAGTTTATAGAGAAGTGAGACGAAGAAGATGGTGAGAGTCAGCATTTTGGGATTCAATATTACTCGGAGAAAGCCGGTGATCTTTTCACGAATTAGAAGGGTGTTTTCTAATCGCAGCCTTCTTATAAAATTGATCAGAGGAATAAGAAGAAAGACCTTTAAACAGTAGAAGACAATGGCGAAACTGATAGAAACCAAGGACGTAGACTTAAACAGTCTTCTTATAATAAGTACAAAAGTTGCTGCTTGGTGATTACAGAATGGGAAAATCGGCAATTTTAATTACCCGCTAATTAAAAATAATTCTCATTTATCAATACTTTAATTATCTTTTTCTTAGATTATAGAATAAAAGATAATCCTTTATTAATGGTGGTTGAGGATTATGTATTGTTTATTTGAAAATTCCAAGCTTCCAGCTTTCGTTAGTGTTAGTTCAATTTTATGATATTGAATTTAAATATAAGAGAAGAATTAGTCCTTCATTAAATTAAAAAAATTAAAATT